AACCAGACATAACCATTATAACATTATAATTACTCAAATCCAATATATACATACAGGATGTTTGTAAATAAGTGCGAGATATTTTAGGGGGTGGTTGCCGAAATTAGTTTGTGAAAAAAAGTTCATATAAACGTACCTAGATCGAAAAATGCTTCGTTTCCGAGAGAGAGAGTGTTTAAATTTTAATTTTTTATTTTTATTATGAGTAGATAATTATTTCAAAGAGTTTTAAAGATATTGACTCAAAATTTGATGGTTGCATTTTATTTAGAAACATTGACAACAACCTACTAGATAATGTGTCAATAGAAATTAAAAATAAACTTGCAATAAAATATTTTTTTCTCAAAAACGGTGCATCCTAAGAAAAAAATTGAAGATACCAATTTCATTCATTCACAATTGATAGCGGATTTCTAAGAAAATATCAAAACGGGAAAAAGTCAGTGGCGTACCATTTTTTTTTATTAAAAACAGGTTGTGGCATTCTCGCACGAACGTCACTAGTCCAGGTAGAAATATTCGGATCACCCTAAAAAATTTATCCCTCCAAAGCATTTTTACAATTTCGAGTCAACATCTTTAAAACTTTTTCAAATAATTAATAAAAAATAAATATAAAATTAAAATTTAAACACTGTATCTCGGAAACGAAGCATATTTCGACTAACGTATACAGGCTGTTACAAATTCGCTTCTCGCTATAGGGATCTCGGAAACGGTAAGAGATACGGAGTAGCTTAAATGGCGGCAAAGTTGCGTAATCAGGGGACCAACAATATGCCTCTAAAAAATCGAGGCTAACATGATTAGTTTTCGAAATATTTGAAAAAAAACGAAATTTTGTTTAATTTCAGCCTTGTTTGAGGAGATATTGAAAAACGAAGAACACTTTCTCATGGCCACTTTTTGCCCTCTATCGAATAGCACAATCAATTTGTATATGTAACGTTTCGTCTCTCCAGGACCATCATCATCAACATTTTTTTAAATAGGACCCTTGAAATTTTATTACTTACATTTTTTGCAAGCCTTCATGACCCCCAATACTGTACTGCCTCAGTCCTAACCAGATTCAGACGTTTTGTCTCGAAAAATTCGTCTTCAGTGTATTCGTTCCAAATTTATCTAAATTTTTTATTTAGATTTCTATGTTTCTTGAATTATCGTACACTGTAAGTGTCGTTAGACCTTGTGAAATTATTTAGTTATTTAAACTATTACCACCACGCGTTACAATAAAACATTTATTATTATTAACTATTACCATCACTTGGTCATACAAAACTCAATAAGTTGTTGCGTCAAAATTAAAACATTGTTACAATTTTAATTTTATTATGACAAATTAATTCTTAAAAATGCATATGAACAACCAAAACGCCAACTGAATATTATTCTTTAAAAAATATCAGTAAATGTTCAAAAACATATTAGTTTTGGAAAAGGTTAAAAATTAAGATCAGCATAATAGTATCGGAATTTATTATATCTGCAACTGCTACTGTAAAAGAGCATGTCAGATGTATTTGTATGAATATCCTGAAAAAAATAGATCGGAATTTGTTTGAATTTTGAGCACTCGAAAAGCCTAGAAATAACTATGGACACGGGATTAAAACTCTAATAAAGTTTTATTTTAATGCGTGGTGGTAATATGTAGTTTGAATAACCAGATGGATAACGACCGACACTTACGGTGTACGATAATTCAATAAACAAAGAAATTTAAATAAAAAATTTAGATAAATTTGGAACAAATACACTGAAGATGAATTTTTCGAGACAAAACGTCTCAATCTGGTTAAGGCTGACGCAGTACAGTATTGGGGGTAATGAACGCTTGCAAAAAATTTAATAAAATTTCCAGGGTCGTATTTAAAAATATGAAGTTGATGATGGTCCTGGAGAGACGAAAAGTTACATATAAAAAATTGATTATGTCATTCGATAGAGGACAAAAAGTGGCCATGAGAAAGTGTTCTTCTTTTTTCAATATCTCCTCAAACAAAGCTGAAATAAAACAAAAACGGATTTCCAAAATTTCATTTTTTTTTCAAATATTTCGAAAACTAATCATGTTGGCCTTGATTTTTTAGAGGCATAATGTTGTTCCCCCTGATTTGCCCCCATTTAAGCTACTTCGTACCTCTTACCGTTTCCGAGATCCCTGTAGTGAGAAGCGAATTTGTAACAGGCTGTATAGGTAATGTAAGAAAATAAAATAACTACATTTTCTTATTCTCTTTCTTCTTATAAATTAGACCAAGCAAATTAAATTTTTACTCGAAAAAAGTCCTATCCGCTAGATTATTGTAAAATTGTCTAAAGGAACATAATACAAGACATCTCTCGTCTCGTGAGTCAAAAACTTTTATTAGCTAACTTTTCTATTTAAACAAATAAGTGAGGAAAACAGTTTTTTCACTTTGCAGGGAAAACCATCAATTTTAGCGAAAAGTGACTCTCAGACAGCTNTAGGATTAAAAAAAATAATTCAATCATTTTGCTGCTAGTTGTGGATTTTTTAAAATTTCTGAAATCATCCCTTAACTTGTGCCCCTCTAACTGTTATTTTCGAGTTATGTTGAAAAAAACAGTATTTAATTTCAAAAAAATGCAACAAATCACATTAAAGATTTTTGGCGCGCGTCGTATATTAAGCGGGATCCCTAGAGGCGGCCTTCTTACAGCAGACAGCCTGTATAACTCGATAAAAACCTCTAATTACTAATTAACACTTTAGGATCGTTCACAGACAGTTAAGGTAATAATATCAGACGATTCACTTTTTATTAATTTCTGTTTTTCATTCAGCATCTTTACTTAAAGTGAAACGTCTAAACACAAAATGAAAATGACGAACGAATTCGTTAGTGAACCAATCTAGCGATGTTGGATTTTTTCATTCGACATCATTCACTCGCGCTCCGAATGAACGAAAAATGAAATGTTTAAACACAAAATGAACGTTCACTCGACTTTGATCAGTTTTGGTTTCGCCTCCGTAGCGAATGGAAAAGAGCAGATAACGTTTATTCGTTTGCCATTTTGTATATGTCTTGTGGACGTGCAATGAAACAACACTCAAGTGATCGTTCATCCGATTACACCGTCTGGTATCACCTTTACTTTGCACATAATTCGAGAGCTTTAAGTCGATCGCGATACGTATAGTCCAATTAAATGAACCTTTAAATCGCAATTTTGGTCAACTTGCCTGAAGTTAGTTTGATGTATATAAATAATAACAATAAGTGACAATAATCTTTTTTCCAACCCCGGCCAGGGGTGAAAACAATTAAATAGTTGTGACTGCTTTGAATAATGAACTAATTGTGGTTAACAGTGGACTGTATTTTATTTTTGATGCAAATATGAATTACATGACAAAAAACGTGTTGTCACGTCACGACATTTATTAGCCAACCAACATTTTTTAAGAAAACTGTGAAACTAGCATGCGGTCACAGAGGCGTACCTAGGACAAGCTGCAACGATAATTTGACAAACCTTCAAATTCTAAATAAAAAATGTTTTGTCACATTTCCTTATTGGAGTAGCCGTTTTCGAACAATCAGCAAAAACAACGAAAATAATCTGCAGTCGGCAGGAACTAAAAGAAGCTAAAATAGCAATAGTAGGCCTTGGATATTAAACAAAAATTGTGTTGTTTGAAATGAGCTATCATTATACCCCAGGAAAATTAGCGAAAATAAAAGAGAAACTCGAAAAAAGTCCTATCCGCGAGATTATTGTAAAATTATCTAAAGGAACATAATACAAGACATCTCTCATTTCGTGAGTCAAAAACTTTTATTAGCTAACTTTCCTTTTTAAACAAATAAGTGAGGAAAACAGTTTTTTCATTTTGCAGGGAAAACCATCAATTTTAACGAAAAGTGACTCACAGACAGCTTGTAGGTAGTAAAATTATTTACAAAATGAGACTTGTTAAATTAAAATCGGTTAATAAACAAAAAAATTATTGCAAAAAAATAAGAAAATTGACCAAGTTTAAATTGATACGCGCTGTAAATTTTGCAATATCTCGGCTTCTATTCATCGTAGAAACTTATTTATTTTTTTTGAACTATGGTAGCTCGACGAAAAAATAACAATGGGCATATTTACGAATTCGTAGAATAGCTCGGAAAAAAATAATCTTTTATAATTAATGTTTTTTAATTTACAAAAATGTCACAAAAATTATTTTTAAACGAAATATTAATAAAAATTTCAATTTCGGAATTATTTTTCTATTATTAAATAAATAAATGAAGCTATCGTCCATCCCTACAAGCTGTCTGTGAGTCACTTTTCGCTAAAATTGATGGTTTTCCCTGCAAAGTGAAAAAACTGTTTTCCTCACTTATTTGTTTAAATAGAAAAGTTAGCTAATAAAAGTTTTTGACTCACGAGACGAGAGATGTCTTGTATTATGTTCCTTTAGACAATTTTACAATAATATAGCGGATAGGACTTTTTTCGAGTTTCTCTTTTATTTTCGCAAATTTTCATGGTGTAAATGTAGTTATTTTATTGTTTTACATTATATGGTTAATAGGAAAGAATGTTAAATAATAATTGATGTCCAGTTGTAAGTTTTAAAATGTTTTTAATGTATATTGTCTTAACTAGGTATTTTAGATTTTAATTTTTACATAAGGAAAAATATTATAATCCACGGTTATTATTGTTTCATCTGAAGATGGGAAAAATAATCCCGAAACGATCGTAATAAAAAAATGTTTAAGAAAAATTTGTTTTACAACAAATTATTTAATAATTAAAATTGGGACCTGCTCTCCCAGTAAATTAATAATTATTCAAGAAATTATATGGTCAGGATAAAAAAAATTATATAAGAAAAACTGTTTGAAATTAACCCAGCTACCATCTGTCAACGTTTGTCATAGAGCTTGTAGAACACCCTGTATAAAAAAATTATTTCTAAAAAATACCTATTCGTAATATCAAATTCATTTCTTATTTTTCAGGTGAAGATCTGGTTCCAGAACCGGCGCATGAAGTGGCGCAACTCCAAGGAGCGCGAATTACTAGCGGCGGGTGGTTCCCGGGAGCAAACCCTCCCCAACAAGAACAACCCCCACCCCGACCTGAGCGACGCGAACGGCGACAAGCCGAAGCTCGATCTGACAGACGTGCAGGACATCTCTCCCGCCAATTCGCCGGTCGACCACCAGAGGGCGGGCGAACGAGAGTGCTCGACCGGCAACGGAGGGCACTGCGTGTCGATGGGGTACCAGATGTACGAGGGGGTGGATTACGACAGCTCAAACGACAGCGACGAGGAGATCAACGTCACTTGATTTGTTATTAGGAAGTCTCGATGTTAAATTTTGTTAAATTGTTAATGTTCCTGGATGTTAGAGATACAATATAGAGATTCTGTTATACGGGAAACTCGAAATCAATATAATTCACTGGATTTAGTTACTATATACAGGCTGTATCTCCAAAACGCAACGTTTTTGTGAAAAACGTTACAACTACTAAGCCAAATTGTTTTTCAAATAGAAACCCTGTAAATAAAAGTACGTGTGTATATATTGTACCTCGACATCAAGATGGTTTCTTGTAAAAAGGCACTATGTATATTATTGTATATTGTTTTTTCGTGAGTGATATTTAAAAGTGCACAATCAATTAAACCTTTACGAGTTCATTGTGTGTATAAAATCTCAATATGCGGTATAAATGAAATATATCAGTACTTTATAATCATTAAATCTTATTGTAAATAATATTAGGTGATACTACTAATTTCCAAAGATACTATGTATGTAAAAATAAAGTACCTATACCAAATGATAATCAGTTTGAGTTTTATTCTCGTCTCTAATCGTTTGTATATCCAAGATGCCTATTTTTCTCGCCGCACCATTAAGATCTCAATTAGCTTAACACATACAAAGTTGGTAATTATAGCAAAGGTGCTAAGTTTAATAACGTATAATTTCCCGAAGAGAAATTTTACCTATCTTTCTTCGTTTTGATGATATGGATTGAAGATAGACGTTTGTTTTCGTTTTTTTTTTTAAATAAAAACATAAACAAATAGGCTTTAGATATTGTTAGAACACTTTTTTGTGGGGAACTCAAATTTGTACCAAGACGCAGAAATGCATTCAAATTATGTTTTTCTTATGAGCACCAAATAGTATTTTAACATTTTTTTTTTCACCACATCTTTCTGATTACGGTGATATTATTGATGCAACTTTAGTTTTTGTTTCTAGCGAAAACCAATTGTTTAATTTTATAAAGAAGACCTTGAAAACAAAACATCCAATTTACTATTCCGAAAACGAAACTTTAACAATTCAATTCCATTTTATACAGTTTATAGATAACTAAAAACGTAACATTTATATTATGGATTAATTAATCCGAAGACTATCTTGTTTTGGTGGTTTTATTTTATGTGAATATTGCATTTTTAATAATCTACGAGTATACTTCGATGTCCACCAAAATTTAACGGAACTATCAAGTGTTTAAAATAATAGATGGATGTTTTGTTTTCAAAGCACTCTTTTTGGTAAAAGGTGCATAATTTGGTAGTTTGACAATACTATCAACGAAAATTTAACAGAACTGTCAAAATTTTGTTTAAAGTAATAGATGTGGATGTTTTGTTTTCAAGGCACTCTTTAAAAAATGCATAATCTGGAATTTTGATGAAACTGTAAATGAAAATTTAAAGGAACTGTCAAAATTAGGTTTAAAGTAATAGGTGGATGTTTTGTTATTCGAGGCACTCTTTGTAAAAAATGCATAACTTAGTATTTAAACGAAAATAAAAGATAACCATAGGATACAACATCGTAATCAGGAAAATATTGTGAAATTCCAATATGAAAGCCATAAGAAAAACATAATTATCATATGAATGACATATTAGAAATTTCATACAAAAAATATTCCAAAAAAGGTTGAGTATAAATTCCACTTCCGTTTTCAGTTCAAAAAATTAAAAAATATATTTTCAGATTTATTGATAACTTCAAAAAGAGAAAATACAGATTTCCTGGCTAAGCTATTCGTCTTCAAATTCTGCAGCCTACTTATTCTAATTTGCCCGACCTTGTATCGCTTTAATATAAACGAGATTCCAATTTCCAATGACGCGGCTCGAAAAAACACCCTATGTTACAGTATAAATCTAAATGAAAATGTGACCTAGTAAATGTACCTACTGCCTACTTCTATTTTCTGTTACATGTTACATTATTATTTGCAAAATCTTTGAAAAGACCATACATTCCTGCATAAATTAAGGCAGTATAAATTTGGTATTTATGCATAATTACTGAAATTATTATTATGTTTAAAAACTTATGATTTGTCTATCAAACTTTCGACTACCAAAGAATGGTAAAAATTTGTATAAAAAATTGATTACTCTCATCCCTACTTGTATATGCAACACACATTTCATCAGGCTGTAAAGTAAGTTGCCTATATAAAATATTGTCTCCCTAAGAAAAATTTAAATTATGCAATCAACACATTGTCGGATGTTTTTAACGCAAAGCTCATTTATTTAAAATCCTTTTTAGTATAGTAGAAACACCTAATTAAGTAAAAAATAATAATTGCCTGCATAATTCATGTGTTCTAAAGAGGATTAGAGAAAATAACGATTAAATAGGGTGTGAGATGTGTGATATCGATATTCGATTTTTGTAAAAAAATGCAAAAGCGAATGTTGTCAAACAAATAAAAATTAGTTACTAAAAATGAATTAACAACTATTAATGATTATGTTAAAGTAAAATTAATAGATTATTTTAAAGAACTCAGTAACAGAAATCGAAAAAATTGAATTTCCAAGATTATAACGTCATCTATCGTACGTACTTTTAACCGTAGTATCCGAATTTGCAATAAAAACTAAGGGTTTCTATTCAAAATTTCAATTTCGAAGTTACCCTCCGTCACACTTGCAAGGAGGGTGAGGGGGGGTGATGAACTAATGTATTTTCTACGCGGAATGATTAAATTTTGATTATGAACATTTTTTCCGTAGAGTACTAATTTTACGAGATATTTGAAGTTTCACGGAAAATATCGTAATAATAATAAAAATGTAATTTACAAACTGCTTTCGACAATAACAGGCCTGCAAATGTTCTACGAATAGGAAGTTACCGATTAACGCAATCTTTACTAAAAACGCGATTTCTTGTCCATAAAACGTCGGCCATAAAGAAATATGTAAATCGATAACTGCTCGTTTTCGAAATAAAATGGAAGGGGCTTTTTCTCATCGAAATATGCGATATTTTCTTTAATTATTAATTTTTAGTTATTTTGGTTAAATTAATTTAATTAATTTTTGTGTATTTAAGTTACATCCTCTATATTTCAATATGAAAGAAGTATAAATAAAAAGAAGTTAAAAACATTTTTCTATATTTATTGCTTAACTTTATATGATAAGATTATAGAATATTTTTTTTAACCTTTAAAATAGAGGAACATTCCTAGTCCTAAACTTTTCATACATTTTAAAGTTATTTTTTGTGCCCTTCAGGTCAATTTCGATTAAGGATTGATGAAAGCAGATTGTGAATACATACATAATGTCTAAAGTTATTAAATTAATTTGTGTTTTTTTTCTCTATTTGGGTATTTTGCCACCCGTTAAAAATAAATAAATAAAACCTTGGGTTAAAAGTATCAGTTTTCTGAAACTATGTTTGTCTAGCAAAAAATTTCACACTGAAAGGCAGACACACAAAAAGAAAAAAATACACATCTCTAAATCGCGTATTTCGGAAAATTAACGTTTTAAAAAATACTCTCCTGTAGCTTATTTAATGATAGCTGACGTACTTAATAGCTTTGTAGGATATTCCACTCGAAATAAAGGATTTCATATAGAGGGTGTCCCAAAAGTAACGCACGATTTGAATTGTGCACCATTTTCATTCCGAAGAGTTGGCAGCATTGCGCCGGGTCACATGTCACTTTGCGGTTAGACAAAATAGAGCGCTATACGACGGATGAGCGAGTGAAGATTGTGAAAATTCATGGAGAGTGTGTAGCTGAGACTGTGTACAAATTACATGGAATTTTGGTAGAAGGGTGCTTCGAATGAAACAACTGCGAAAAGATTAGTTGCAAAATTTGAACAAACGAGTTCACTTGCAAACAATAAAAAAACAGACTCTCCTCGTACCTGCCGTTCAGCCGATAATATTGCTACGATGAGTGATAGCGTGGTGGAAATAAGTGACGGCTCGTGACATTGAGAATAGGTGAAGCGTATTCATTGATTGACTAAAAAGAAAAATTTTCAACGTCAAACGGCTTTAAATGAATGTGGAAATTTTTAGTTGCATTTGCAATAATACCGAGAAACTGACGTTCGCGAGAAGGATTTTCATTTAGATTTTATAAAAAATAGAAATATTAGTTCGGCTTGTGGACATCTGCGAACGTTAACACACACCTTATATGTATGTTTCAAAGCAGCTTCGTGGTTACGACAGCCTCGCGTGATGTTCCCAAAATTGTTAAATCCCTCCTTATTCCACACGCCCAACTTTACACTCACAATTAAACAGGGAATACAGAAAAGTTTTTTTAAATAAACACTTCCCCATAACCACTTATACTCTGAATACCATTCATTCCGAAACTTCCGAACGTACACATTGACTTCCCCTTTTTTCCATATCGAGAGAATAAGGCACAGGTCTCTCGCAATTTAAAAAAATCTTTTTGTCCTCAATTTTTCATCTGGCATTTCCAACAAAATACATACAATTACTATACAAAACAAATATTAACAAACAATGCTGCTTCAATTTCTGCGTCACTCGTTCCCCCACGCCGTAGTTTACTCCCGTGTTGGCCGCCTCGTTGGCATGACAACTGCCGTAAACAACGCTACGAAACGAAGCGTATACTACATAACACGTTGTATGGTACAAGGTTGATGTTCCCGCTCAACGAAGGCAATGTTTTTTAGAAAGCGTTCACCGCGCAATTATTCTATTGATTTCTGCATATTAAACAAACAAACACAATACATTTTCAATATAAAATTATACCTAAATTATAAAATGTATATAAAATTAAAAATAATTTTAAATTGCACAACCAAACGGAAATTTTAGGTGAAGCGGTGCGTCACTTGCGTCACCTGGCGAGCCGCCACTGGTGGAAATTCCCGCAAACTCAGTACGCCGTCGCGTCGGTCACTACAATTGAACGTTTCGAAAAGCACAATGCAGCAAACTTTAACAAAAGATCTACATCTGCATACATTCAAGATTCAGCTAACCCAAAAATTGAAATCAGAAGACCATTTAATACGCCAGAAATTAGTCGATTGGATGTTAGAGAATCAACAAGTGGACGGTGATTTTGCTAAGAAATTGATATTTAGCGACGAGGTGAATTTCCATCTTAGTGCGTATGTGAATAAGCAAAATTGTTGAATTTGGGGCAGAGATAATCCTCTGGCCATTCAAGAACGGCCACTGTTTACCCAAAAAGTGACAGTGGTATGGATTTTACGCTGGTGGGGTGATTGGTCCGCTCTTTTTTGAAAATGAGGCTGGAAAGGCAGTGATCATGACTCCATGGAGAACGATATCGAGATGTGCTATTGAACTTTTTATGGCTTCACTTGGATGCCATAGATTTGGATGACATGTAGTTCCAGTAGGATGGTGCCACCTGCCATATGGCACATGAAACTATTCACTTGTTGCAGAAATTGAATGGATGACTCATCTTACGTAACAGTGAAGTGACTTGGCCACCAAGATCATGCAATTTTTTTTCTGTGAGGATTCGTAAAAGTCCAAAGTGTATTCTGCTCAAATAAGTGCCATTTCTGAATTAAAGTCAAAATCGGGGGGTTAACAACGAAATCCGGCCGCAGATATGCAAAAGCGTAATACAGAATTTTCTTAAAAAAAGTCGAGTATGCTAAATGAGTCCTGGAGGACATCTGCCCGACATCCTCTTTCACATTTAATGGCAGTCTCCTCTTTAAAAACATGTAAAAACCTTGCCAACTTTTCAATTAGTAAAATCTTTTTTTCTCATATGAAATCCTGCGTTTCTTTTGGGACACCCTATATTTTACCATTATTACTTTTTATGCTATTTCAGTATCAGAACTACATGTAAGACATCAATGACATAAATATGTATAAAATTTCCTTAGTTTTCATAAAAAAAAGAAAAAATAGAACTATTATAGTTTCTCTTTACTGGAACAGTCATAGTAGGGTTGTAACCGTGACCTTCGCATCACAATCCACCGCCTCTCTAGATACACTGCAGATAAATAAAAAAAAAACAAATTACGACCTGTAACACGTAATTACAACCTTGGAATAATTCTCCAGTTACCACAACTCCTAGACAGAAACTCTTGGCTCACATTGCAGAATTACATACCCATAATTAAAACATATAAATTAATAAATATTCGAGAAGAAATCAGTTTCGACTGCCTGCGCTACCTACACATGCCTGGCAATTAACCATTGAAAGTGACTCGACTCAATATTTACGTTTACCCAAGAATAAGGGAAAGTTGAAAATGTTTCTTGACCTCGATAGTTAAAATTCACTTTAGTTCTGTCCCGTATCTCTCTTATGTCAAAGTACGACAATTTAGCCAACCGATAGGCGAAGAAATGAGGGATTAAGGTAACCGCGGTGATACCGAAAGCAAAAGTGCATTTAGAAACGTCAACCTTTGCACTTAGGCGGTTATTTTGTCGCCTCTTTGGTGTCTTCGTTCATCGCGCGCTCGCATGTTATCTGTAGGAGGTTCGGATTTTTGGTACGGCTAGTGAAAATGAAAGTGCTAGTGCTGAGTGTGTTTGCGGTGCACATTTTAGGTACGATGTTTTTTTATATATAAATTTGGGTATATCAGACTGAATTCAAATTTAAAAAAATGGTTACATCAAGTTCGTTCAAATGTAGAACCATCCCTGTGAATATCAATCTCGACCGATATCTGTTAATTTTCGTATGTTTATTAATTAAATTCTAAAAAGAGCCTATATGAAAAAGTCCTTAAAATCCCTAAAATGAGAGAGAAATATTATTGAATCCTGGCTAAATTGTGTGTTGTTGTTAATATTTATTAACAATACAGTGTGTCCCAAAATTAACTTGCAATATTTTTCCAGCGTATTCTATGACTGAACATAAGAGAAATTTATAATATTTTATAACCATTGGCGGAGAAATGTCGCCTAAGGGGACTATAGCCCATTAAAGGTGAACCCTTGAAAGTTGTTTTTTATATCTCCGAAAAGTTCGAGATAAAGTAATAAAATTTGAAACTGAGTAGCTACTATTGTTGTGTTGTTAATTTAACTTAAAACTAATTCCTAAATTTTAGTTAGGGGCGTACGAGGCTTGAAGGCTTGCTAAAAGTAGGTATTCCTCCAAATTTTTCATATGCGAATCTTTTAAACGATTGAGCCAAAAATTGAAAATTTTAGTACCTTTTACAGTAAATTATATTACCTACATGCTGAAAATATGTGCATCGATATTTCTGAACACACGGTCCATACACGAATATGCTTTGAAAACAATTAATAATTATTTTGTTTAGTAAGGAAATATGAAAGGTAGTTGTAAAACATAATTGGTTATATAAAAGTGTAATAATTTATGAATAGCGAGTTTTTATGGTAATAGTTGGATAACACAGCTTTTATTTGTAAACTGTGGATATTGCAGGAAACAACTAATGCACCGACCAGCATTGAATTATGCCCGCAATATCTAGCAAACATCTTCGCGTCGGACCCACCAGACATATACCGGTTTCGAACTTATTGGTATTTATACTGGAGAATAAAAGACATAATTTAGTTATTACATTTATCAACAGTAGTTTTCTTATTTATATTTTAGTGGCTTTTTTTTGTTATGAAGTCGTATACCGTAACTTATTTTATACAATATTGTTATATTTAAATTCGATGAATTATTACAAAATTTGTAGATAACCGACATCTATATTTTTCTTAATTTGCCATCAATTTAAATATTTTACAATTCAGAACAGATATTTTTGTGGCATGTGACATAAACTTTTAAATCAGTTTTTATTCCAAATGATGCAATCTACAGAAGTCATACAAAGACACGTTTTTACTGCATAATTAAGTTTTTCTAAACAGTAGATAAGTCCACATACAAAAGAGTTAGAGTGAAATTAATCCACAACTCTCCCTAGTTTGGGACGCTCCTGGTTAAAATTTAATAGTTATTTTTAGACCATTATATTACTATAATAACATCCACTTTCTAATATTATTGTTTTATCTTGAACGATTTTGCAGATATCTCGAAAAAATGGGCTGTAGCCCCTTAGAAAAATTTCTCCCCATATGCTAATATAAATTGTTTCTCTTATTTTTAGTAGCAGAGTGCTGGTATAATAGTGCAGGATGATTTCAGAACATGCATATGTTTTTTTAAGTTAATGTCATAACCGTAAAAGAGATTTTTTTTTAATTTTAGGCCGAAAAAGGTGTGAAAATTAAAAAAATAGTTCACATTTTTTGAACAGTTTCTGAAAATGTTTCAAACATGTGAATCAGTGGCGGAGATACCGGGAGGCAAGAACTCCTACGGTACTGAGTTTTTTAGAAATTCGAAGTTCATTTGAAACATAATTATATTTAAACAAAAATAAAGATATACCGAATCATTTATTACTTATTATTCTTTTAAATATCTCCAAAAATACTGGTTTAGACAAAAATATTATTTATAGGGATTTTTTGTCGTTGCCCGTAATACAATTTTAAATAGGTATGTAAAATACAGGGTCATTCAGTCATAATGTCATTAATTTTAATCACGTATTCAGAAGACTTAATAAAGACAGAAAATCGGAAAAAAAAATTTTTTACTCGACTTTTAAAAATAAAGGAAATCAACCCATAACTCCCGCTAAGAAGACGGCCCTGCCAGATGCTGGGTTGCTCGGAAAATTTTGTAACGTAATGTCACGAACAAATCGTCAGCTGAAGCGAACAGCGTTGCCAAGTTCACATCATAATCTGTGGTTCACATTTAATTAATCCGCTTTAGTATACGGATACATATGTATGAAACCAATAAAATGCAAGTAAATAAAGGATCATGCTGCATTTTATTATAGCTAATTTAAATAATTTAGTGCAAAATGTTTTAAGCTAATTTCTTTGCAGCCATAATAGTCACATTTGGTCAGATGAAAACCCGCACACTACTCGTCGGTTTAGCTTTCAGAGGAGGTTGGGTGTCAATGTATGGACAGGAGTATATGGCGGTCGTTTAATTGGGCCGCATTTTCTACCTGTACATCTGAATGGGCCGCGTTACTTTCAATTTTTAGTAGAAAGCTTACAGCAAATTAAAAAATTATCAATATGATGTTAATAAAAAATGATTTTTGGCAAGTCATGCTCAGACCTCCTCGAGATTCTTGCTGGGCAACAATAACAATTTAATATGTTGATTGCATAATTATAAAAAATAATTTATAGCATTTTAAATTATTATTGGCTGACGTGAGCAAACCGTTTATTTATTGTCTTTATATGTGCGAAAATATATAAATATGGCAACATTGCATCTAGGTTGCTTTGTTCATATCGTAGCCGGCTGACGCCAGCCGGTCAGTAACAGCCTGAAAAGGGGGTTAAATAATGATTTGAAAATATTTTTTTCAGCTTAAATATGCATTTAATTTTTTTTAATCACGCCATCGTATTATACTCATTTTTCTCTATCTGCTCTTAAAATTAATGACATTATGACTGAATCACCCTGTATAATCAGCAAAAGACCAAATACATAATTTTCGACGAAGAGATCCTCTACCTGGAATTTCTTCGTAAATCGAATAGTTTTACTTATACGTATTTATTTTAAACATGTTCAACTGTGGAATAAGTTTTTTTAAATAAAAAAAAAATTAATTAATTGAAAAGTACTCGTCCTTCGAATAACATATATTTTTTCTGTTTTACAAACAATTAGGAATCAAAAACAAAAACGAACTTCAAAAAGTCCCAGTGGCGTAGAAATTTTAGGGTTTTCGATGGCATTGTTATCCTGTATTTCAGCCACTGGTTACATATTTGTATACCAATTCAACGAATTTTTGCCATTGATTAGCTAATTCACTAACCCAAATTTTTCAATTTTTATGATTACTTTGAATTACCTTAATACTCTTACAAATGAAAATACAAAAGCCAATAAAGAAATGTTATTAAAAACAATCAAAAAACTATTTCTAACATGAAACATTTGAGGGAAAATTACTAACTTACTACTTATCAATGTTATTACTTATTATATAAAAAACGTAAGTTTATGCCGAGGCCAAGACGAGTACAACAATCCATGCAAAAATAACGTCACGTTTAACATTGTATTTTTTTATAACAATAATAATTGCCAAAACATCTAAACAAAGGCCCCGATGTTATAGCTAGGTAATTGTATGGACAATATTCGAATAATATTGCTAGAAATGCGTTTATACTGAAAAAATACCACACAGAATCTAATTTGAAGAGTACAATCTTTGGGACATTTTACTTATTTTGAACAAAACAAAGTTCTTTACAGTATTATTTGACACCCTGTGGTTATGCATACAAACTGACAAATACATTCTATTTCTAAATATGTATATCACTTAAACGATTCGAACGCAATAATTTGAAAGTAATAAGGTGTGTACATGTTTTTTATAGAAATAACTTTTTTAGAAATAACCTTTCAACTTAACCTCGTAAATTAGTACATGAGAACAGATCTAAATCCTTGAATAATTGTTTCTATGAACAGTTCTGATATGGTTCACTTGTTTGGCTCATCGATTATTACACTAATACTATCGTACAAAGTTGCAGCAGAAGAAAATATAAAACATTCATTAAATGGTTAATAAAATTTAAACCATGTCACAGCCCCTGACAGTAATAACTAGAGATCGGGAATGTTAGGGCGGCTGCAATGTGGTACAGGGTTGGTTGTCGGCCGGGTTCTCTTCTACGTAATTTTATTCAAACCAAAAGTGACACAACCGTTCCCTTTTTACAATATATAAGCATTTGTACAATAGTATGAAACAAAAAGGGGCAGTATCTATTTCTCTACAGTAAACAGTTCACTTGGAACTTACCATAAAATACAATATAAAGTCCGTACAATATTTGCTGAGATAGAATTCCAAGAAAGAGTAAGCCAATAAAGTTCTGTTATCGGAATTACTGTAACAATTTACCACTGCAAGGGCGTACCTTGAAATTTTACGCGTTATTTTCGGAATATTAAAATATAAACATGATACTCTTCGATTGGGAATTAAATTCCTTAGTTTTATTTTTCATCTCCATCGATTAATTTTAATAAGAAATTACCCTGAAAATTCATAGACCGATACATTTACGAAGAAACACAACTTCGTAACTGCAAAACACAGTATACACTGCATTCGCAAGCTGCTACATTTTACATACATTTACGAAGAAACACAACTTCGTAACTGCAAAACACAGTATACACTGCATTCGCAAGCTGCTACATTTTACATACATTTACGAAGAAACACAACTTCGTAACTGCAAAACACAGTATACACTGCATTCGCAAGCTGCTACCGTGAACGCCACGCCGCCAATGTATTTCTACCTCGGGTGTCGAACGCGGTTATTCCAAGAAAGTGACGCAGAGGTTTTCTTGGAATTCTATCTCAACAAATATCGTACGGACTCGTACGTAGGTATAGTACCTACGAAATAATAAATACCAGCAAAAGTTATCAAAATAATAATTTCTTAGTCATAAGGAAAGCTATTCTAGAAAATAA